CATTTAGGAAAACAGGAGACAGTGCATGGCGTGGAAAGATAAAGTCATGAAGTTTTGTTAGGGAAAGCATTTAGGAAAACAAAGAACTTTCTTTCTAGTTTGGGTTGGTTTTTTTTTTCTTTTTGAGGAGGGGAGAATCATGAAGCTGTTATTTGTTTCTTTGTACTTCAGCATTTGTTAGAAGAATTTCTTCCTATTGTTAAACTGTGAGTTTCTTTTCTTTTTCATGCCCTTTGCCAGATCTAATCATCTCATTTCAAGAAGAATTGTTCTAAAGTTGGGAAAAGGACTTAGCAGAACAAAAAATCCTTAAATTAATCATGAATCCTCCCTTTTCCCACTTTAAAACAATCCAGTTCAGCAAAAAAAGACCTATGTTCATAGCTCAGAAACTTCAAAACTCAAGGTCTTACCTAAGCACCTACATGCCAAGCCTAAGTGGCTGTTGGAAGTGCTGAGCTCTCAAAATCTGACTAAAATCAATGCCAGCTTCAGATGAACTTTACTGTCAAGGTAAAATTTGGATTGGGTCATCTGGATCCCAGTTTTGATGGGGAGGGGGGAAGCCAACAACTGGTTTTGAATATAAATGCGTAACCTTGTATATATAGTCTAGAGGAGACAGCAATCAAAGAAGGGAAATGAGGAAGTGAAATAAATACATTTTTTCCTTCTTCATCAAGATTTCCTGTTTACCTCATGATAGCGAGGAAGCATTGTAAGTCATCTTTATCATTGCAGCAGTCAGCAGGCAAAAAACAGGCATAGATAATACTCTTTCTGATCATTATTCAACAGAGAAAGAACAGCCCTCTTCCATCTGTCAACTATTTGATGAAACACTCCCTTGCAAAAATTATGTAAACAGATATTTTTAAATCTAATACGAACTGCTCAAATATTAGCAAACTGATCCGGTATTTGGGCAGAAGCTTATCTCAGAATGAAATGCGCATGAAAAAGTTAACAAACAGATTAGCTAGATAGAAGCATTTTTCAGTCCAAGTTACAAAAAAAACTATGTTATGCTCAACTGCTACTGCCACTTCTCTTGCAGATTCTGAGGACATTACATGACACCCAGTTACACCTGTACTGGGGCTAGTAACTTCTGCATGTGTTCAACTAAAGCAGCATTTCTCTTTATGGAAACTGCAGTCCATAGGATTTGTTAAAAGGTTCACCCTGGAAAGTGTTTGAGAATAGTGTTTAAGATGCTGCTCAGCTTCTCCAGAACAGAGGAGTTAAAAAGCAGAAAACATTTATGTAAGTCAGTGAACCGC